GCAGCCCAACTCCACCGTCTCTGTAGTGTCCTACTCAATAGTCTCATAGCTTTGTTCTTCTTCCATTCCCGACGGATGGACCTGTTCCTCCAAAGGAGTTTCCGCTATAACTATTATGCTAATGTTCTATCATTTGTTTATTGCTCCAGGCTAACTGCCATATTTCCTCCTAGTTCTAATTCTTCTATGCCATAGGCCATTTCCATTGGGAATATTCCACTAATTTTTTTTTACTAGCACATCTAGGTTTTACTGTTTTCCCCATTAATCTCCTCGTTATTGGTGTTTTTGTTCTTTCTAATTCACACTTCTTTCCTTCCCGAGCTTTGAAAAGCTTTTTGGGTGCTATAATCCCTCCATTTACATTCATTAGCCCACTTATCTTGACTGGGCTTAGTGTTTTTTTACCCATCCAAAAGCCTTGACTCCCCTGTTCTCCACTTTTCCTTGTTTCTTTCCCTTTTCTTGAGCTATTTCCTTGCACTGTATTCTTCCTCTTTTTCCCCTTATTGAAGGAGAAATTCTGTAGTGATCCCGGTATATTAATTACTTTAGTTCATAAAATTTCCCTGGGGGTCACTCTCTTCTTGTTGCTCCTTTTCTATTTCTTCTGCTTATAGAGCTTTAAAACATGACCCCTGCCCCAGTATCTGCTCAGCAGTTTCCATTCCCTGATCCTTTTTTCTGTTATCTCTTCTCCTCTCTTTCCCACTAGTTGCCTTCATCCAATCTAGCATTTGGGTATGTTTCTTCATTCCAGACGGGCTAGGCTTACTTTCTCTTTGTTTTTGGGCCTTTACTTTGAGCCTAGATCTTTCGGCGTGGTTTGCTGGACCTTTTACTTCCTTTCTTGTTCTTCTTCCATTCGCAACCATCCACGGCCCAAATGGCAGGCTTTTGGATCCTTCATCTCCATCCACCTTCCTCTCTGATTTCGGACTCTGGTTCTCTATTCCTTCTGCTCTTTCATTTCCAGCCTTTAGCCTCAGAGCTCTGTAATGTGGCCATATTGCCAACATCCAAAATAGATTTGGTATAGCCCTTCGTACTCTACAACTTGAAGATCCTAATTTATCCAGACATATGGAATCTAGGGTTTGGTTAGATCAGCCTCTATGCATATTTTGTTAAATTTCCCTCTCTCAGCTATTAGAGTATTCTCATCCACTTTGACCATCTTTCCTATGTTGTTGCCTACTGTCTTAAGGAATTTCTCGGTATAATCTCAACCGGCAAACCTAATAGTCTAATATGGACCATTGTCAAAGTTATCTTTTTTGTTTTGCTAGAAAATATGGTCTCCATTTTCTCACAGTAACGTAGAGCCTCTGTATCATCCATGGCCCTCCATCTAGGATTCTGTGGTAGTCCTCCTTTAACCTGACTCTAACAATGTAGAATCCTTTTTCCAGATCTGTGCTTTCAAACTCTTGGTCTAGCAACCACATCTCCTAAAGTTTTTGCTCCAAAGTTCTAAAGCAACGTTTCTACCCAGTACTCTGAGTATGAGTGCCTTCCTCCACGGTTTCCACATCTCAAGTATGTCCCCATGGGTACCGTTGGTTTTGGGAACTTCAATTTAATCTTCTCTGCAAATCTGGCTTCATCTATTTCTCCCTTTTCAAGCATGGTGTTATCCTCTCTTCCTCAGATCCATTATAGAAAAGCTATTTTTGTAGGAGTTCTTCTGTTAACACAAATGTAAAATAAAATAGTTAGGCAAGAACTTGGATGGACCCAATCTGTGACTCACTCATAGACGAGTGATGTATTAGTTTCCGCATCATCAACCATCATGTTAATTAATTCTAAATGTAACACCCCATTAGGTCTTCTAGTAACAACGGGCACTAAATAAATCCACTGGATCAAAAAAAAGATGCAATCTAATTCAGGACTCAAAACAATTATGGAAAAATCTTTCAAAACATCTCATATTTCGTTAAATGAATTTTTTCATCCTTTACTTTTAAAATGATAAATTTATATTCTTTGCCAAAATTATATCAATAAAATTTGGTCCCAACTTTAATTTTTTTTTACCACTTTTTACCCTGAATTAATCACGCTGACTCGCATATAATCAATTTTTTAGGACAAAAAGGTTAGACCTCATTTATGGTTAAACAAATGACCTTAATTTATATTCATTTCTACCCTTAAACGAGTAGGATTGCCGCCTAAATCATATTCATTTTTCTCTTAAAAAAGTGAAGATTTGAGTCAATTTTTGCCCATTAAAAAAAAAGTGAAATCTAACCTTTTTGTACATAAAAATGATTGCATATCGATTACATGGTAATTTTATACTAAAAAATGATCAAAAACTTAAGTTGAAATCAAATTTTGCGATATTAAATTTCTAAGGAACACAAAGTTAATATTTTAAAAGTGAATGATGAAAAATTTCATTCAACGAAATATGAGAATGGTTTTGAACAATTTTCCCAACATTTATTATGTTTTTGCAAGAGCATCAACACCTAGTCTGCTTCGCTAAAGAAGCGACTAATATGGCATTCTAAAGTTTGATTGTTTAATGCCAATAAGATCCCAAGCTAACACACCGTTTGATTTCCCAAAGTAGGTGATCTGTGTCTCTCGAATACGCATTGCAAAGTAAAATATCCATCTACCTTTAAATCAATACAAAATACTTTGATTGTCTAATGCCAATAAGATCCCAAGCTAACACACCGTTTGATTTCCCAAAGTAGGTTATCTGTGTCTCTCAAATACGCATTGCAAAGTAAAATATCCATCTACCTTTAATCAATACAAAATACTCCGCCACAACAATATTTCCTACTGCCGAGCCATCCATATTTTAACTTGACTCCTTCCTTCCCATGCTTGAAAATTTTCATCTGAGTAGTGTAGGTTTTTAACTGCTTGAAAAACTTAGAATTCCATCTCAAAACCAATTGATAACAAGTGAAATGGCCTAACAACAACTTTTATATATGATTAAAAATCTTTAGAATATCAATGTGTAATATTCTACTAACACTTTTAACTTGATTCCTTCCTTCCCATGCTTGAAAATTTTCATCTAAGTGGAGTAGGTTTTTAATTGTTGAAAAACTTAGAATTCCATCTCAAAACCAATTGATAACAAGTGAAATGGTCTAACAACAACTTTTATATATGATTGAAAATCTTTAGAATATCAATGTGAAAAATTCTACTAACACCCCCTTACAATCGTGACTTGACAAATGGGCTTAAAACCAAGTCACGAGAGAAAACTATAAACAAGATAACTGAATCACGAGTGAAACTACAACTCACAAGGTAACAAATAAACTCAAAGCCCAGCTCTAATACCATTTAGAGAACATGAACTGCCATTTCAAAATCAATTGACAATGAGTGAAGTGATCTAACAACTTTTATATATGGCCGAAAACCCTTGGAATATCAATATGAGATATCAACTAATAGCAGCTTTTTTGAATCTGTTGTTGATATTTCATGGGCTAAGCATGACTCACGCTTTCTGGAAAATGCATCGTGTGGCGCGGACGGCAGAACCCCCAAAAAGAATGACGAAAATCTCAACTCCGGATGACCTGTAGACGGCATATTTTAGTTTTCATGAATATACTTCCACCGCCGAATATGGTGAATGACATGACGAAAATCTAGATTCCACTTCCACTCGAGCACTATACAAAAGGTTAGTAATTAAAAATTCAAAGAATTGTTGCCGATCCTTCTTCTTGACCAGCATTGCCGCACACTGGCTGCCCATCTACAATTCCCACGGAGACCTGCTTTCCAAACCTGCACAATTAGGACAAATATCAGTATCAATCAAATGCATATGAAATTTAAGGTTACGGGTCATCAATCGATTGTGCAACTAGAGCCAGAGCAGTACACATTGCACCTTTCTGATCCCCTTCCTTCCCACACTCTTTTCCAACGCTAAGTTTCATTTAGATTCCTATTAGATCCATTAAGCTGATCATAAGCTGATTCGACGGTACATGCTCCTGATTCAGACAGGCAACATCGAAGAAAATCCAAAATATCAGGATTCTGGATGAGAATAATGGATCTGAGCTTCATCTTTGATACATGAAGGGAGTAGTCCCTGCAGCATTATCCAATTCCAATCATTTATTCCACCGCCCTTTTATTGCACTGCTTCTTCTGGGATTGAAACATCCACTCACTGATTGGTACATTGAACAACACTAATCAATCCAAAATCCTATTGTCTCTCCATTACCAAGTCTCCACCTCATTCCTTGCCGTGTTACTACTTCAGCGTTACCTTCTATGCTTCTCCAGGTATATGACCATCAACATACTCAAAGAGTCCCCATCCTCCTTGCAATATTTTCTAAAATGAAAGTTTCTTTCCATACAACCCATCCTCAATCAATAACTTCCAACCAACCTTAGCCAGAGTTGCTGCTGGTTTAGTTGAGAGAGATGTCGAATATCTAATCCTTCTTCCTCTTTTTTCAAACGATCAACTTAAGAATGGAACATAGTCCATGGATAAGCGTCTTTGGTTCTCTGCCATAGAACATCGCAAGGGTTGTATACTCATCACTCCCTTTACATTGTATACTCCATGTAATACCAGCAGCTTTGCAGCTACAAAGATTTCCAGAAAACCAGCTATGGAGAGTGTATTGCTGGGCAAGCCAGCATGCTGAATAGAGGAAATACCTGTGGAGGCTGTATTCAGGTGAGATGTTTTGAACCATGTCTTGTGGTGTTTGCCACGTGGCCCACCTATCACTATAACTGCCACTGATTTCTGCCCCAAATTACGATGGGCATTGGTGGAAGTTCCTTGATCACAATGCGGGATGTCACCTGGTACAAAAATTGCAGCAATAGCAGAAAACGTGGTTCCAATTCTATTAATGGTATCAATTATTTGGTTTTATTACTAACCAATTCAATTAACAAATTCTTGGACTGAATTAGTCTACACCATATGTCTCAGATGCAATGCCCATTGTAGGTGCGATCTTAATCAGGGAAAAATGTGGAGTTGACAGGAAGTTCATACTTTGTGCAAGTCCTAATCACCAATGATGGGGTGAATGGTGAAGTCTCTGCAGGAAAAATGAAAGGATCAAAACAGGATGGATAACTATGCTGTAGAAACTGGGTATAGAATCAGCGATGCAGCATCAGACTCATGGGCAGCCCTTATTACAATTTTTCCCTGATAAAACAGAGATTTGGTCAGACAAATGGTCTTGAGTTTGACATTATCAAACGGAGGTAAGCTATGTTCAGAAGTCGTATCCCACCCACTCTAAAGTGTACGTCAAGATCAATGTAGAGATACAGCAAAGAAAGACCAAAAAATGCAGTGTATTTTATGGCAGGAAGGGCATATGCATATCAACCTCATGACTGTCCATCATGTGACCATTGTGGGGGAGATGGCATATATTGCTCACATAACCATGGGTTAGCTATTTTCTATTATTTTCCCATTTCTTCTTTCTACAATCATTTTGATCTGTTTGCATCCTGAAATTTAAATTTTCAGGCACTTATTGTTCAAGATATAGATGCCATGCATCATTTCGTGCACTTGCAACCAATAACAAATTAAATTTCATGGTTTGAAAAGCATTCCGCAAAGCATAACCATTGCACTTGTCTCCATAAGTAAAGAGTTTAAAGTCACCAGTAAATTTGGCTCAAATATTTAAATAGCTCCTAGCCGCTAAACAAAAAAAAAGTGCAAGAACTTTCCTGACAGGGTAGAAAATGCTAAACACTTGCAATGGGAGGTGCTATCAGATTGCATCTAGCAGCTCCTGCAAGAGTAACCAAGTCAGTTTGAGCTCACAAGAATATCCTTCTCCCTCTCCTTCTCTTGAAAATTTAGAGATTGACCAAAATATTTCTGGGCTTCCAGTCGAAAACAAGTTGAAAGACTTGCTTCCTCATTTGACTCTAAAACATTGATTAATATCTTGAATGACAACTTATCCAGGTCACAACCTATAGATTTCATCAGGTAAAAGCACTCAACTGCAAGTCCAGTGAGGTTGAAATTTGCTAAAATCTCCAGCAATGCATTAAAACCGTTAATATCAGGCTCTAAACAAGGTTCCTTCTTCAATTTAATGAAAAGCAGTTCAACCTCTTCAAGCAATCCATTGCTTCCCAAAAGTGAGACCAATTCAGCATACAGTGATATTTGAGGCCTATACCAATACTCCTCCTGAATTTCTTCGAAAACCTAATTCAGGAAACGAAGGACACTAATAGATCAGACAATATCACTGTAGGCTAAATGTACCATTTTTCAGAAACAAAGGCACCCAATACTAGTCTAAGCCCCCCACCCCCACCCCCACCCCCAAAAAAAAAAAAACCCCAGAATCTCACACAAGAAAGGGGGGAAAAATTACTGGTCTTCGTAATTTTTCTTCTTTGCGCAAATGAGCAAGAAGGTAAACCAGTTTTCACTCAAATTTGAGCCTCAAGTTAGGCCCCTTTTTTTCGGCTGATAAAACAGAGAGATGAGTCAGTACATTCTTTCTTCTTGCTTGATCTTGTTTTGGCTGAAAAACAATATATTATGGTTGAACCAAACAAGCAGCTTAAAGAGTAATTAAAAATTGTGAAATCATATTCAATCGATGAGCCTTTTCCAAAATTGTAGGTTGCTGTTTTGCACTTGGGCAGTAAAATTTTATATTATCTCGGGCAAGCAATAATTAAGAGGTTCCATGCATAAAATGCAAGTACTTTTGGGATCTGATCCAACTCGGCTACCCAAAACTTGAGTGAATTGGAAATATAAGACAAGTTGATCCCTAAATTTTTATCTCACGCCATGGGATAAAGGATACCTCCAACCACAACATAATAAATACAGTTATTCTGGTTTCGGCCCCAGATTATGCTATCTGATCATCTGTATGGTGCATCCTCTATCAAGTATAGCCTTGTTTATCCACTTAGAAAAAGTAGATAGGCACGTTTTAGTAAGGGGCATAAACCCCTCCTCCCCCCTCCCCCCTCCCCCCCCCCCCTCCAACAACAACAACAAAAAAAATCCAAAACAAAATAAAAAAAGAAGGGGGAAGGGGAAAAAGGGATAGGCAGTAAGAAGCAAACCTTAAGAGCCAAATAACACTGGTTCTGGCGAATGAGTTCGCGTAGAACGGCTATCATATCGAGCTTGAGCAAACGCCTAAAAGTGGTCTCAAGGGCAGGCTCCAGCGGACAACTACTAGTGGCTCTGGCCCGCTTGAGTGCCTGAACCGTTTGAATGGCTTCGATGCTGAGATTCCGGCCTTTCTGCAGCGGCTTCCTGTTATTGCTTCTGTCTCTCATGATGGTTACAAGTGCATTGTTTCTATTCTTTCTACTATTGCTATTGTTTGCTGCTTCTCCCCCTAGTCCTAGCCCTAGCCCATGCGTAATTAAATTCCATTCCCAATCCAAGCGGAATTAAGCCTGCTGGCAGTGGGCGAGTGCGATATCTGGGTCATACCTGAATTCATTGTTGTCCCACAACGCAGCACCAGCCGAGCCACAGCCCACAAGGAGGAGAAGGGGGAAAAGACCGCCTCCTCCGTCTCTGATTCTCTTTTTACTGTACAGCTGATTGTTGCAAGAAAAAATAAGTGCAATTCTGCGATGAAGGTCCGTCTGCGGTCTGGCAATTGAGCTTTTTACGTGTTTGTTTAAAATTTTAGAGAGTCCATTAAAAATAATACTATAATATTTTATTTTTAAAATACTAGTTCATTTGGATTAGTTATTTTTCGTATTATTTTTTAAAAATTATATGAAAAATTTTTACTGTAGATGTTTTTGGATTATTTTTAGAGGTATTTTTAAAACATATTTTTGAATATTTTTATAATTTATAATTTTTATAATTTTATATTTATATACATTTATGCATTTATAATACATTTATAAATATTTATAAATAAATATATTTATATATATATAAATAAATATATTTATATATTTATATAAAAATATATTATAAATGTATTATATTATATATAATACATAATATAAATATATTTATAAATGCATAAATGTATATTATTATAAATTATAATAAATAATTTATATATTTTTATATAAATATATATTTATGCATTTCTAATACATTTACAAATATTTATAAATAAATATATTTATATATTTATATAAAAATATATAAATGTATTATATTATATATAATACTTAATATAAATATATTTAGAAATGTATAAGTGTATATTATTATAAATGTATAAATTATAAATGAATATTATATAAATGTATAAATTAAAATATTATAAATATATATTAATATTATGTATAAATGTAAAATTAATATTATGTATAAATGTAAAATTAATATTATGTATAAATGTAAAATTAATATTATGTATATTAATATAAATGTATAAATGTATTATAAATGTATTATATTATATATAATACATAATATAAATGTATATTATAAATATACATAAATATATATATTATGTTTAAATGTACATTTATATAAATGTATAATATATAATATATAATATTTATATAAATATATTTTAAATATATAAAATTTATTTTAAATAAAATAAATATTTGTAATATGAATAAATAAATAAATAAATAAATAAATATTTAATATATATAATATACATTAATATTAATTATAATATTATAAATATGGTGTTTATATAATATTTCAATTTGTAATATTTATTGTATATTTCATTATATAAATATTTATATAATATATCATATATAAATATATAATATAAAATTTTCAATTTGTATAATATACATAATATTGTATATATATAATAGAATATACATAATATACATTTATACCTTAATACATATTTTGTATATTATATATTATACATAACATTATTATACATTATTATACACAATAATGTACATAATAATGAAAGTACATTAATAATGTATATATTATAATATAATGTACATAATATATAATGTATAAATATTTATACATTTATGTATACAATATTACATATTATGTATATTATATTATGTATATTATATTATATTATGTATAATATACAATATTATGTATAATATTAATGTATATAAATATTTATATAATATATAATATATAAATATATAATTTTCAATTTGTATATTTCAATTTATATTAATATAATATATATATAATATACATAATGGAAATATACAAAATATACATATTATGTATATTTTGAGTTGTTTTTGATATAATGTTTGGATATGGGTGTTTTTGGAATTGTTTTTGAAATACACATTTACTTTAGCATTTGGAACGTGAAAAACCATTTTTCAAAGACAGAGGTAAAAACAGGAATCCAAACCCCACAAACTAAATACCCAATTGCAGTTTACCCTCTAAACTATAATAATAGGCATTATGCCCCCTTGAATGATATGTTGGGACAAATCTACCCATTTTATTTTAAGCATTGTTATTTTTCTTTTTTCCCTATCATTTTCTTTTTAAATTCTTCCTTTTTTTTCTTTAATCATTGTTTAAATAAGTAGACTAGATTAGTCAAAATTTGTTTATTTCTTAATTTTGTATGTCAATATTTTATTAAAAAAAATCTATGGATTATACAAGATTTTTTGTCCAAATGTTGAAGTCAATAAGAAAATTGGAAATTGTAATGATGATGTCAGCAAATAAAATTGGGTAAATAATGCTCAATCCAAACAAACCCAATGTCATTTAAGAAATTGAACTTTTCAAATATATAACAACAAAATAGAGAAATTGATTAATCAATTATTACTAGTATCAATAAAAAAAAAATTAACTACTATTGTTGTTTATTCTTATTTTTTATTTCACTACAAATAACAATTGCTAACTTTTTCTTTTTTATGTGATATATAATATGTTACTTTTATTATACGTAGTTGAGTAACTGTGAACTCCTAATTAGTTTATAGGTGCTTAAATTGTTGAATTACTAGATTAATACACTTTACAATATAAGCTTCATATATTTTGTAATAATAAAGAGTTTATGACAAATTATTAAGAATGAATTTAACAAATAAACAAATTTAAAAACAATTTAAAAAATATTAAAATTTTTGATGTAAGTCTTTTCACATCGGAGAGAGACGTTGGCTAGTTCCACGAGAGAAGGAGAAAATAAATAAAAGGAAAAACTGAAAAATCTAATAGAGAAAAAAAAAGAAGAAAGGATTTAAGATAGTAGGGGTAGTGTTGTCCAAACATATCATTCAAGGGGGTAAATTGCCTATTATTATAGTTTATGGGTAAACTGCAACTGGGTATATAGTTTGTGGGAGTTTTTTACATTTAACCTAAAATTGTACTATAACTTACACTAAAAGTTGCAGGGAAAATTTTTTAAGTTTGTAAATTTTTGGATATTTTGAAGTATATAGTTTAAAAATTTTGAAAAGTTTTTTGAGATTATTGTAGTTCAAATTGTTAAAAAACTTGTAACAGACAAATTTGATAAAAAAAATTTGCTTGCCAAACATGTCCCATATATATAAAAATATTTTTTTTATTATGTTAGGAATATTAATTTTTCAGATATTAATTGTCCTGTATTATCAAATACTATAAGAGTTTACTAATAATTTTAGTAACAAACAAACAAATTAATAAAAAATAATGTTATGGGATAAAGAGCAAAACAAACTATTTTATAGGAATTTGGTACAGTCAACTCTTAAGTGTATAATGCCTTTTTCGACATTACCATCCCACAATGTTAACAATGTTATAGTTGATTAATGGTTTAGATGATAAAATGAAAATTAAAAAATGACGGTAAGGGACAAAGTGGAAAAGATGCATAATGGACCCCTATGTGATGGCGATTTAGTTTCCGTCAGTTACCCGTTACTCTGTTGGGTCACCTCCCCCATAATTAATTGGAATAAGTTAGAGTAGGGAGTAGAAGTAGTTGTAGATGACTCTTGCCATATATATAGACTCCTCTTTTGACAAGTGACAATTTGAATTTTTACTCCACTATTTTCTTTGGTTAGGAAAAAGTCATAAACTTTTCCCCTCCCAATTTCTCCTCTTCTTTTTCTTTTTACCTCTACCTTCAACCCTCATCTCCCTTTTTTTTCATCTTTCTTTTTTCCCTTCCAATTTTTTCTTTATAATTAATTATCCTAAAATTATTTTCTTACTATTTTTTAGGTGATTATTATTAATCATGGAGAGATATCGTAACAATCAACTGATTTATAATGCCACTTCCAGCTCCATCAATTTTAACTCTTTAATTCAGTATTTTGCTTTTTCCCTTCTTCTTTTCCTCCATCCTAATTTTTCTCAGCCTTTCCTCTTTCCACTCAATCAAATACATCTTTTCCTTTTTCCTCTGTATCAACTGAATGTATGTTTTTCTTGCCTAAGAATAGATATTTCTTTTCTTCCTTTGTTCAAAAATCATGATTCATGATCATCTCTTTTTTTAAGAGAAATATAAACAATAGATCTTTTATCTCCCTAACCTTGCTATCTAGTATGTTCCATTTTTTCATTCCTATTTTTCCCCTGTTTCACACTGCCAATTATGGACTTAAAATTTTTTCATTAATTGTATTTAATTTAGCCTTTATCATTTTTTTTTTGCCTCTTCATTCTGTTACTAGGTGTATTTATTTATTTTGATTTGATCTCCTTGATATTCATTAAGCCTTCCATTATTTTGGCTCAGCAAGTCAATTCTCCTTTTGTGAGGTTTGTCTTAAATTTAAATGCAAAATTTGTATTTTGCAATTCTGATGTTTTAGTTCACTTTCAATGCATAACTAAATCTTGCACTTCATTTAGTAATTCATTGGTACTGAATTTTTGTGCTTTTTTTATGCATTGAAAAGCCTTCTATTTCAAATTTCTTGCAAGTTTTATTGTGAATTGGTAAGATGAAAGTTTTTACATGATGATGTCTTGTTTGAAAAAGAAATAATGGTGATAAATTCTATGCATTCGTAATTATAATAGCATGATATTTGAGCTTTATGAAGCATACATCATTTATGTTAATATTGAATTGATTTTGTATTTCTCACGTGCTTGATTTTTCATTTTTTTGCTATTATTTGTCCGTACAATACAACAAGATATACCTCTACTATGTCAAAATAAGCAAGTTGGAGCAAACTTTTGGAACATTACAGTAAAAGCAAACTTTATTTTTTAGGCTCATTTTTTGGCAATTATAATTGCTCTTTATTTGAAAGCAAATTATGGTATAATGAATTTTAGCCAGAATTTTATAGGTGGGCATAAGCGGTCGTCGTATACTGCACATCAAGGTTATGCAGTAATGAAGAAAGGTAGAGCGCGCACGGAATACAATCCTGTTATTATACTTGCCAGACAGATGTGCACGTCATACAGATGGATAGGCCTTTAAGAATCTCATTCATGTGCTAA